ATACTTTCTAAGAATTCGATAGATGCTTCACATTTTTGTCAACACTTGAAAGTATGAAGTCTCTTTAGTTTTTCCATTGTTGTAACTGTGTAGCATGCCTTATGGTGGGTTTATATGTGATCTCATTAACAATGCTGAACACTCAAAATACATGTATTGGCCATTTGTGTTTCCTGTCTTGTGAGCTGCCTGCTCAAGTCTTCTGGACATTTTTGACTGGTTTGTGTTCTTGATTTTGTAGCTGGTGTATTGGCTATTAACTTGTATTTACTACTGCTTAGCAATATTATCACAAACTTAGGGGTACAAACAAACATTTATTATCTGACAGTTTCTATGGGTCAAGAGTCTCAGCATGGCTTAGCTGGGTCCTCTGCTTTAGAATCTCTCGCAAAGCTGCAATAGACGTGTTGGCCAGGGCTGTGGTCTCATCTGTTGCTCAAATGGGGAAGGATCTTCTTCCAAACTCATGTGGTGGCAGCGTTCAGTCCCTGTGGTATATCTGCTTTCCAGTCTGCTGCTTGCTGCCTGCTGCCTAGAGGTTACCCTTAGTTTCTTGCCATGTGGGCTTTCCCAACATGACTTTTTTCCTCAAAGCTAACAAGGAAGAGTATCTCCTTATGAGATGAATACTACAGGTATCTGAAGCAGAATCACATACATAATCACATACCTCTATCTTTGCCATATCCTATTGGTTAGAATCAAGTCACACAGGTCCCATGAAAACTCAAGGGGAGAGGATTACACACGGGTATGAATACCAGGGGTCAGGGATCATGGGGACTATTCTAGAGTTGTCTTCTACACAGTCCTCATTAGATATGTCATACATACCTTCTCCAGTCTGTAGCTTGCCTTTTCCTTTCCTTTGATAGAAAAAAAGTTTTGTTTAAAATAAAATCAAATATATCCACTTCTTAAATTTTGTAGATAGCATTTTGTTGTCATTGTTTTGTAGAGTCAGGGTCTCATTCAGTTGCCTGAGCTGGTCTTGAATTCCTCATCTCAAGCAATCCTCCTGCCTCAGCCTTCCAAAATTTTGAGATTGCAGGCGTGGGATACCACACTGGCCCTAGATGGTGCCTTTTCATTACCTGTTTAATACTTCATTGCTTACCTAAGATAATGAAGATATTCTAGTCTAGTTTTCCTCTGGACTACTGTTTCTCAACCCTGGCAGTACTGATATTTGGGGCTAGATAATTCCTGTTAATTCTTCTCCTGTGCACTGTAGGGTGTTTAACAGCATCTCTGGCTCACCCACCAGATGCCAGTAGCAGCTCCTTCCAGTTGTGGCAATCAAAAACCTTGCCAAATGTCTCCCAGGGCTAAAAGGCTGCCAGTTGAAAAGTACTGTTCTAGATGCTTTATAGCTTAATCTTTGAATCTAATGGCGGTAATCTGTGTTAGTAGTTGCTTCATATTGTTCCATGTGGATTGTCTAATTTCTCTACATTCACTGACAATTTCTCCTATTTCTCTACGTTTCCCTCATGAATTGCATGTATTGCCTTTGTCCTACATCAAGTAATCATATATGTATGGATTCTGTTCAATTTATCTACCTTAAGTCCTCATGCCAGTAAAACATTCCAGTAGTTTTTTGGTAGGTCTTGAAATTTGCTAATGTAAGTCTTCAAATTTTGGTCATATTTGGCCTATTTTAGGTCCTTTGCATTTCGTTCTATATTTAGAACCAACTTGTCAATTTTTACACACAAAAAAGTCGAGATTTTTTACTGAAGCTAAAACTATAGATCAATTTGAGGTAATTGTAGTCATAATATTGAATATTCCAGTACATAAAATAAATCTTAGTTTCTTTTTAATCTCTCAATATTTTCGGGTTTTGAGTGTTGAGGTCTTGCAACTACTTCTATTTGCTAATGTTTCCCAGCTTTACTGAGGTATACTTGACATATAAAAGTATATACTCAATGTACAACACGACTGTATATATGTATGCATTGTAGAATGACTGCCACAATCAAGCCAAATAACACATCCATCCATCCCCTCACATTTTCTTCCTTTGGTGGTGGTGGTAACATTTAAGATCTACTTCCTTAGCATTTCGTATTTTTTAAAACATTGTTAATAACACAGTTTTCCTAATTTTATTTTCTAATTGTTGGTTGTTAGTATGTAGAAATCATTTTTTGTATCAGCCTGTATCTAGTGATCTTAGTAAATTCATTATAAGATACTTTGGATTCTGTTTGTATGCAATCAAGTCATCTGTAAATAACTTTTTACTTCTCTTTACTCTTCATTATAGTTTTCTTATCTTTGCCCTGACTGGGATATCCTAAACAATGTTGAATGGAAGTAGTAATAGTGAACATTCTAGTCTTTCCTCCAAATTTAGGGGGAGAAATAATTCAACATGAAAGTATTATTATGATAGTTTTTTTTTTTTTGTAGATACTCTTTATTGTATTGAGGAATTTACCTAGTTTCGGAGAATTACATGGTTGGCTGAATTCTGTCAAACATTTTGTTTTTCCTTTTTGTGCAGCTACTATAATGGTCATACAATTTTTCTCCTTTATTCTATTAATGTGGTGAATTACTTGATTTTTGAATGTTATAGCAGTCTTGCGACTCTGAGATAAACCCATTTGGTCATAAGTTTCTATCCTTTTTATGTAGCCTCTTTCTACATACTGCTGATCATTTTGTTTAGGATCATTGCCTTTTATGTTCATGAAAGGTGCTGGTCCATGATTTTCTTCTGTCAGGTTTTGGTGTCAGAGAAATTTGGGTCTCATAAATTCAGTTGGGAAATGTTTTCTTTTTCATTATGCTCGGAGAGTTTGTTACATAAACACATTTCATCTTTAGATGCCTGGAGAAAATCACTGATGAAACCATCTGGGCCTAGAGTTTCCTTTGTAAGAAAGTGTTCAATTTTTAATTACATTATAAAGTCTTTATTTATTCCACAGGAAATACATTTCTGATTATGAATGGAAGATAACAGAAACATTCTGAAGATGTTAACTACATTAATTTTTGAGAAAATATACATAACTATAACACACAGAGATATGGAAGCATGAGAGGTTTTCAGTAAACCCAGAAATACAGACAGCACTGATATTTACAAACCCATACATAGCATCATTTGTAACTTAGCATGCTATTACCGTTTTCTGCTCCCAAGCATTCTATAAAGGTTATTTTCATGTCTGGATTTCTGATTTAGCTGCAAGATGTAAAAATTCTACATAGACAACCTGCTTTGGCTATACCATCAGGAATGGCTTAAAAGCAAAAATGACATTCCAGTTATTCCACACATAAATCCCTGATGTTAACATCCTTAGCCAAAAATAGCCATTTGAAAGGAAAGCCCTATTTCAAAGCAAAGGAAATGTAAATAAGACAATAACTGGTCCTGGAAATGTCAGACTCAAAACTGAGTTCTTTAGGTGGGAATCGATTGTAAAATAACACCTCTGATTTGTTATCTAATAAAACATAATGGATTTATCAACTTTATATAAAAATACTGTCAACTTCTGATGGTTTCCCCAGGGTAGCTTTGAAGTAATTATTCTCTCTTGAAACTGTATTTACCAAGCTGCTAACTTTTTCTTTGATTTCATTCATTCCTTTTCCCCATTCGCCTCCCTATTCCCAGTCTAGACTAATGAACACAGTATTTGACAAATCAGAAACTTACACAAAGATCTTTTATTTGTGGTTGGACTTACGCAGTTCCAAAAAGTAAACATAATTAACAAAACACTTAAACGTACCAGAGGAGGTGCCCCGGTATCAGTAGAAGGCACTGATCAGACCACAGAAGAAAGCTTGACACGGATCTTCATATGTGAATGCCTGCTTCAATCCTGCCAAAGGAACATGCTGTTCTCTCAGTGGTAACAGTTAGTGGGCCAGAGCAGAAGAACTGGAGACTCTTTTCCACTGGTGTAGGCAGCAGGCTCTCCAGAAGTATTATTATAGATGACATGAAGGTGACTACCATGGTAGCAATGACAACAATCTGAGTTACAATGACAAAGCTTGAGGCCATCAGTAGAAGCTTGATGTGATCTAGAAATCCTTGTGGAGCCTCTCATCAGCTGGCCATCCCTGATACAACCCTTGGACGGGCCACATAATCCATTTTCACAAAACTGAATCCAATGCATTGTGTTATGCCTTCAACACACTAGATCTGGTAGTTGCTAATTTGGAAAAATGGTAAGTACTATTACATCATTTTAGAAATGAGTCAAATCTACGCTACAAGAAAAACGTATTAACACACAGGTACTTTTGGTGGTATGGCTTTAAACTTTGTGCTTGGCTATAAAAAGCATTATAAGCAAAGTTAACAAATAACAGTTTTTATATAAAAGAAAAAAAATTAGTTTAGGACACATTAAATCAAATTTTATGCAAATACATTTACAAAAACTGAACTGGATAATTAGAGTGCTTTTTATACATTAATACTGAATATGTTAAATTACTATATATTAAAGATACAATTTGAAAACTAGAGCTGTTTCAAAATACTGCGTTCAAATGTCATTTTTTGGACACCCAGAGAAATTGCCAGATACCATGTTGTCCTTCCATAAGGGGTTTCTCTTCTGAGTCAGGAGAGTCATTAAGTAACATTCAAACAAACAAAAAAAAAGAGTAAAACATAAAGTCCAAATTTAATTCACTTCCTGAGACTCACATAGAGCTGGCTGACTTGAACAAAACACGTCACCATTGTTGAGGACACTATTTTCTGGCAGCATCCACTACACTTTCATGTTACAAGTAGGCCACAGAGATAGGGCTTCAGGGAGACATAGAACACAGACGAACTTCTAAAGCAATAGGAAGCTCTAGCACGGGCGTCCCCAAACTTTTTACACAGAGGGTCAGTTCACTGTCCCTCAGACCGCTGGAGGGCCGCCACTTACTGTGCTCCTCTCACTGACCACCAATGAAAGAGGTGTCCCTTCCTGAAGTGCAGAGGGGGCCGGATAAATGGCCTCAGGGGGCCACATGCGGCCCGCGGGCCGTAGTTTGAGGACGCCTGCGAGTCTAGCAGAAGACCTCATTCTCTTTTTATGAGGCACAAACAGCAGAAGAATAGATAAAACATAACCACCATGATTACGGACTTCAGGGGATTTCATATCTAGACTTTCATGATGTTTTATGTACAGTATTATTCCTTAATACAGCATTATTCCTACTGAGTTCCCAGGAAATAATTTTCATCATCAATAATATGATTTAAAAGTTCACACCATTGTAATATCCATTTCAAAAGACTTTCACTCTTCTTTTTATATATACAAATAGAACTGCAGACAGTCACATCTCTCCAGGCTCATGCTCAACTGAAATTTCCATTATAATAAAGAGAGAGAACAGGAAAGGGACTTCTGGTACCATTTATTTTCCTGTGACAATAATAAAACTGCTGTATCACAGCTTGGAGAATACACAGTTATCACTACATGTTACAACAACTGTGTAAGTCAAAAGCAAGTGATTATTTCCCAGAAACAATGTTTCTCCTATGACCCCTTTCCTTCCTCTGTCAAAAAATACCATACACAAAATATCGCCCTAAAGTCAGGAAGCATCCAATGCCACGTGGCAGACAGAAGTGTTGTGAGCACAGCACAGCAGGACGAGGCCAGTCTCTACTCCGTTCCCTGCGCAGGCTATGCCCATAGGCCACCCTGTTTTACAACTCCTCTCTAAAACCTTTCTGTGTCTCGTGCCTGGCTTTGTGTTCCTCACTGGGTGCCAACCATGTGAAATACACCTTCACTGGATCGATGTTCCAGTGTTTGTGGAATGATATGGGAACCTGATGAGAAAGGTAGTCCTTAGGGTAATCCACCGGCCGAGCCTGCAGGAAGAATAAACAGTTAGGTGTCCTCGGTGATTGAACGTAATTTTGCTGCAGAAGAGCCTATGAATTTATACAGTGGACTGCTTTGCTTCACTATTTAATATTGACCATGGGAATCTAAAAGCAAAAAGGAAACTATTTTCTATCTTTCCTGTAACTCCAGGTTCTTTGCTTTTGTGAATTACCTAAATATCCCTAACGCACTGCTTTTTCCTTCTATGTTCCATAGTCTTGCCTCTGGGAGATTCCTGAACCACAGTCATAAATATAAAAAGCTTTCCTTGGTAAGTTATTTAAGTTACTATTATCACTTCTGCACAAAGGCAGAAAAACTGTTATGTTCCAGGTACTTCTAAGGAAACTCTGGCCATATGTAGATTGCGGGGGGCTGGGGCAAGGAGTTCTCAACTTCTGCTTGGCCTGTCTAATGTGTAATCAGGTGACGTCTCTCGAAGAAAGAAAACAAGGAGCTCACTGGGGAGAAGGCTAACGTAACTCACACTCTCTTCCTGTCCAAATATCTAGTCTAGTTCAAGAGGTATAAATGATTAGCAAGTAACTCAAAACAATTTGCAAAATGACCTAAAAAGTTTTTGTATTATCTACATTGCAAGATTCTCTAGAAGTTAGAAAATAAAACTTAAGCAGCATTAGATACAGGTTAGAGTGGTTAAGACTGAAGAAGTAACCTATAGCGTTAAAAGGAAACTGAAATCAGGTACTATTTTGTTTGCTCTAAGCAAAGCATCCAGTTCCTCTCAGTACTCATCTTTTTTTTTTTTTTTTTTTGAGACAGAGTTTCACTCCGCCCCCCAGGCTGGAGTACAATGGCACAATCTCGGCCCACTGCAACCTCTGCCTCCTGGGTTCAAGCAATTCTCCTGCCTCAGCCTCCTAAGTGGCTGGGATTACAAGCATGTGCCACCATGCCTGGCTAATGTTTTGTTATTTAGTAGAGATGGGGTTTTACCATGTTGGTCAGGCTGGTCTCAAACTCCTGAGGTCAGGTGATCCACCTGCCTCAGCCTCCCAAAGTGTTGGGAGTCCAGGCGTGAGCCACCTCACACAGCCAGTAATCATCTTAAATTTATTAATTTATATGGGCCATCTGTTTTATTCAATACTAAAATTGTCTTGGCTATTAAAACTAGATGTGATGCATTTTAAAAACAAGTCTTTTGTGGGTTACTATTTTATTACAATCTACCTAAATCTTTGATATGAATACTTAAACTGCCTTAAATGGTTTACAGAATCCCTTTGTTAAATTTTACCTTATTTAACCCTAGAAACAACCTTGTCAAATGGACAGAATATTACAATTCACTTCCAATTTACTGCTGAGGAAACCAGAGCTCCAAGAACTAACGTGACTAGCAAACACTGGAATAGTGACCAGAGAGAGGTGCCCGGCCCAGGGCCGGTGCTCTACCAGGGCACCTGCTGCCTGTGCTCAAACTGTCTCACCACCGGCCGGGCACACTCAGCAGCACCTGGCCTAACCTGGCTTCCCTGGTACAAATATTCTGCTCAGATGAGTGTTCCCACAATAATATCTGTGGAGAAAAGTTCAATATAATGTAGGGGGAGAACTTTCACAATTGCTATTTTTAAGAAATTGTAACTGCTCATGGAGTTAAAAATCTAAAAGGAGTTTTAAAAGGAAAAAACAGTGGAACAGATTAAAAAAAATACATACTGGAATACAGTCTGAGTTAGGAAAGTTTTGAATATTAGTTGAGGAATTCATGTATTATACAACATTTCTTTGCAAGGCCTTCTGAGAGTTTACTGGCAAGGAAGAAAACCAAGGAGAAACACCCTTGCAATTCCATTAGAAGATAATTCCACAATGATCCCAGAAGGAAATACAGTAGTTCCCCCTCATCCATGGTTGCACCTCCTGAAGTGTCAGTATCCCACAGTCAATTTTAGTCTGAAAGTATCAAATGGAAAATTCCAGAAATACACAATTCATAAGTTTTAAGTTGCGGGCCCTTCTGAGTATCAGGATGGAATCTAGGGCTATCCCACTCCATCCTGCACTGGATAGGAATCTTCCCTTTGTCCAGAATCTCCATGCTGCCTACACTCCCCGCCCCTCAGTCGCTAGCAGCTGCCTCATTATCCAGTCAACTGGAGCAGTATTACAGTGCTTGTGTTCAAGGAACCTTTATTTTACTTAAGAATAGGCTAAAGCAAGAGTAGTGATGCTGGAATATGGTTATAATTGCTCTATTTTATTATTAGTTATTGTTGTTAAGCTCTTACTCTGCCTACTTTCTAAGTAAACCTGATCTTAGATATGTAAAGTATAAGAAAAAGCAGCGTATAAGTAGGGTTCAGTATATCCAAGGTTTCAAACGTCCACTGGGGGGCTTGGAATGTATCCCCTGTTGTTAAGGACTACTGTAAAAGCAATGGAAACAAATCCTTGCTTGTTTTTCACCTTAAAAAATGAACTGCTGAAGATAGAAATGCATCTAACAGAAAAAACAAAAAACAATAAAACCCGTACCATTTTCCCCTCTATTCATGCAGATTCTAGAAGCGATTCACTGCAGCTCAGGGAGCCCATGCATGCGTGAAAAGCGGTGGAATAGTAAACATTACAATGTGCAGGTCATTTTGGACACATGAGGTCATGGAAAAGCATTAAACAAAACTAGAAAAGTGAAATACATCCAAAATGGTTTCTTTTAATACCAGGAAGTCTACACAGTCACTGATAATCATATCTCTATGCCCGAAATGCCAAGAGGAAATCCCAAACAGGCAGGGCGAGGGGTGGAAGGACTTGAGGAACAGACGCAGAGTATGGTAGGCACCTGCGTGCAGGGAGAGAGAGGGGCTGGAACTGCATAAGAAAGACCTACAGCCAAGCGCGGTGGCTCACGCTTGTAATTCCAGCACTTTGGAAGGCTGAGGCGGGCAGATCACGAGGTCAGGAGGTCGAGACCATCCTGGCTAACACGGTGAAACCCTGTCTCTACTAAAAATACAAAAAATTAGCCAGGCATGGTGGCACGCGCCTGTAGTCCCAGCTACTCGGGAGGCTGAGGCAGGAAAATCACTTGAATCCGGGAGGTGGAGGTTACAGTGAGCCGAGATCATGCCACTTCACTCTAGCCTGGGTGACAGAGTGAGACTTTGTCTAAAAGACCAGACCAGACCAGACCAGACATTGGATAAAATTAGAAACGTTCATCTGTAAATATTGGAGCACACTAAACAGGGCAAGAAATGGAGACTAAAATCGCATTTCCTTAGACAAATGCGTTTTTATAACTGTACTGAGAAATGATTTCCATACCATACAGTTCACCTACCATGATGGAGGTCTAAAACTTTTTAGGGAATTTCCAGAGTTGGGCAACCACCAACCATTGCACACTGCCATGTCCATTAGTGGCACATCATTTTGGAAGAGTAGAAAACCATATGATCTAGATGCTGTGCTTTCAACAAAGGGAAATACTAGATATTCCCTGGAGTCCCCTTCTAAATCTATGAATTCACAATAACTTTCTCTAAAAACAGAAGAAATGTGACAGCCCAGGCAATTTTGCACTTGAGACTGCTTCCAAATGTCCACTCTATCTCTAGCTCATCAGGATTCTTAAATTTTTTCTCTTTGCCTCATATTTCTTTGTGAAGATGACCAAATGCAGTTTGGATCAGTGTTTATACCCTACAAATGGAAAGCACTATCCAAATCATTATTAAACTCTCTGAAAGAGGCTTAAGAATTGGAAAACACACCACTATCTGTTGGGGAGGATAGTTTTAAACATATTTTATGATTCTGGAAAAGTTGAAAATGTATGTGAATTAGAGAAATCAAGGGTTCTAAAGTATGGGAAACAACATTTAAAAAAAATTATCTTCAAAAGACTTTTGCCTATGGATGATTTTCCTTCATTCTTTTCTCCTGGTCATTTTATTAATGTATTCTTCTCTAAATGAAAAGGGCTGCTGTAAAAATCTAAGACCTGTCACAGTACCCTTGATAAATTATTTCCCTTATACATCAACAGTTTTAATTATTCCTTTTTTTTTTTTTTTCGCACGTGACTGAAACACAATGAGACAGAGCAAGGGAGGGAGCCGCAGAGAATAATACTTTCTTTCCTAAGTCATCCTAATGCAACACACATGCTTTAAGTAGGTAAGACCTCTCAAAGTCCTAAAGCACAAATAAGTATCCTCTGACACCCGGAAGGAGGTTTCTCATACATTTCCTTATATTAAAGGTCTATTTGTATCCTCTGTTATTGTCTCAAGGATACAGAAATGGATTCTGCCTTTCCTGATGATGCAAACACTTTCTTAGTACTATTTCTGTCATGCTAAATTTTCTATATTGCTATGATAGTGTTTGCTACTGATTACTAAATAAAGCATGGGCCAGGTGCAGTGGCTCACATCTCTAATCCTAGCACTTTGGGAAGTCGAGGTGGGAGGATCGCTTGAGTCCAGGAGTTTGAGACCAGCCTCGGCAACAGAGTAAGATCCCCATCTCTATTAAAAAAAAAAAAAATTAAAAGTTAGTGTGCCTGTAGTCCCTGGTACTTGGGAGACTAAGGCAAGAGGATCATTTGAGCCCAGGAAATCAAGGCTTCAGTAAGCCATGTTTGTGCCACCACACTCCAGCCTGGGCAACAGAGCAAGACCCTGTCTCAAAATAAGTAAATAGTAAGTCAATAAAGCATAAAAACTGTATATTCAATATAAGAAAAAGCACCTAAAATACATATGCATACGTGCTTCAAGTTTCAAAAACTTTACATTTCTCGAAGAAGGATTATTAGATGGGTGTGGATCTATGGTTACTTTTAGTTTGTGAACATCTGCTATTATTCTTAGAAGAAAATTCACTGACTTGGTTCTTAAGAGACACTAAAAATAATGCAGAAGGATTTCCTTCTCCAATCCCCAAACTGCAATCTGGTGAGGCTATAAGCAATATCCATCCCTGGTAAACATAATCTCATCTCTTCTCTTCCGTAAAACCCAGAATATACGCTTATTGAGACATCCAACAGCAATTTAATAGATTTTAGCCGTTCAGTTTAATGGCAAGTGAAGGAGAAAAAGCTCAGTAAAAAGTCAGCTAGACAGTGTAAAAACTGAGGATGGTGTAGAATTACATAGACTCAGTGGCCAGTAAGACAATATTAGGTCAGTCCTATATATTTCTAGACAGCATCCAGTAATTTTTAAATGCTACCAATTGTTTTAACTATAAAGAAAAAAAACCCCAGGTTTTCCCTGGTCCTAATGCGAGGATACTGGTCAAACGCCACTTGGTTTTCAAGATGTTTTTGCCTCCCATATTCATGAGGTACATGCTGCAGTAAGTTCATCAAACAGGGTAACAGTCCTGCAAAGGATGTTCCCTTGGAGCCTGTCAACACAGTTCTTAAGATTGTTTCCAGAACATGTGAAGAGAAGTCAAATCCTTAAGTAGAAGAACATGCTCCCCACCCGCCGTGAGGGAAGAATAAAACCATTTCCTCACCTGATGGAAGAGAGGGCTGTGAGTCACAGGGATTCCCAGGCCACTAAAGCACATTCCCAGGACCATATCATCAGGAGCATCGTTGCTGTAGCACCGACATTTACTGGCAAGAAGTCTCCTGATGGCTTCTCTGCTGAAGACCATTCTAGTGGGAGCCAGAACAGAGAAAGGGGTTAGAGCAGCTCCACAGAGGCCACTGGTGCACAAATGGGCCCCGGGAAACAGGACTCTACTCCTCCAGACTGAGAGGCAATAGGAGCTTTCTATAGTTACTGAGCTCCAGGTAAAACCCTACTTGTTCTCTTTTAGTCTTCTGGCCCTTTCCAACACTTTGGTACCAAGTTCCCATAAAAATTTCTCTTCGTTTTAAAATACAGATTGGTTTCTTGTTCCATTCTGGTCCTAAGGTAGAAATGAATCTTTTCATATCATAAAAAAGCTCAAACACTGAAAGGGCTGAAGGAACTAATATGGTTCACAAGTTCAGTCTCAATCATCTAAGACTTACTTTAAGGCAAAACTATTTAAAATTCATCCATATAGTCACATTGCCACATATAGGGCCTTGCCCACAGCACTCAATAAAAGTTTGATGCATCAAACAAGTGAGAACAAAGTCATCTTTGCAAAGACTCTGTTTCTGGGGGAGGAAGCACTCTGAGTCTATCTCGGAGGAGGGAAAAAGGACACAGAGCTTGAATCCCTGAGCCAAAACCACTGACTCCACGTGCAGCTGGGCTCAGTTCAGCACACTTTACCTAATGCTAGTGGCCAACCCCAGACTGCAACAGTCTAGAACTCCCTCCCTGCCCTTGACTAGACAAGAGAATTTCTTAAGATGTCCTAACAAAATAGGAAGGCACAAAAAGAAACATAGTTCCTGTCAACCACAGAGAAAGGAAAACTGCAAATCTGAAAACCCACCATAAATTGCCTTTCTCTTAGAAAGCCTGCTGTCCCCCAGTAAAACCTCCCTGGCCACACACTCTTTGTGGCTGAGTCAAACTCCTAGACCCAATTGGCCATGCTGGGCTCAAGCTACTAACTCAGGGAAAAGAGCCTATAAGAGAAGATGGGTCGCAAATAAATAGTAAAAATGCTTTTTTTCTTTTGTCAGCATCTAGTAGAATGAGAAAATGAGAAAGACTTATTTTTTGAATCCAGTCTCTGAAAAACTATAGGAAGACGAAATACAAACATGAAACTGTAATTTGTAATTATTTTATACTCTTTCCTACTCACACAGTCTTACATTAATTATTTGCATACACTATGTGGATATGAGTTATTAATAACAATTGTTTATTAGCATGCGGACGAGTTCTTTCCAAATGAAGTTGCTCCCCAAAATGGAAAACGACCAGTCATATCATGGTGGAGGAAAGAACACTTGTCTGCTCTGCCTACCAATTATTAAATATTAAAAAGATGTTGAAAGGCTACAGGATTATTTTATTTTCTTTAACATACAAATGTTTAAAATAAGAAAAGCTGAAATGGGAGTCTGGGACTTGCCCAGGAACATACTGCAGATCAAGAATAAGTAGGAAGGGAACACACATGACAAACATTCCTACCCCTCCTGGCTTTCAGCCAATAAATAGGTCATGGCTGTCTCTTTGGGTAGCGCTGCCTGCAGCCTCTTCCGAGGACACTGTCCAACATCTTATTCTGATGCAGGCATTTGCTCCCAAGGCTGCCAAAAAGGCTGATGATGCGCTACACACAGCTTCCTACCTAAATGCACACATGTAAATAAGTATTTTCAAAAATGGTCAAAACATCACGTTCTCACTTGTAAGTAGGAGCTAAGCTTCATGAGGACTCAAAGGCATAAGAATGATACAATGAACTCTGGGAACTCGGAAGAAGGGTGGGGCGGGGGATGAGGGTTAAAAGACTCCACTTTGGGTACAGTATATACTACTTGGGTTAACGGGTGCGCCAAAATCTCAGAAGTCACCACTAATGAACTTATTCATGTCACCAAGCACCACCTGCTCCTCAAAAACCTACTGAAACTAAAAAAAAAAAAAAAGGTCAACTGATTTTCTCCAGTACCAAAACTTTCATGGAGAAAGCAACAAAGTGAAAAACAGGTATCTGGATTCAAACAGTGTAAAGGTCTCATGCTCCAAACAAAGCAAAATACCTACACAGGAACCAGAGGAGCCTACAGCCCCAACTTGGCTGTCTCAAAACATCCTTACCTAAGAAGGATGGTTCAAGACAGTGGTTTTCAAAAACTTACTTGACTGTGACCCACAATCAGAAAACAAGAAATTAATTTCACACTGCAACCATTTATATGTTTTGTGTGTAAGTGTGTATGGGTATGTATGAAGCTGAAACAAAAAATTCACAAACAGTTCTTACCCTTATGACATGGAATGCACTCTGATACTTTCCATTTTATTCTATTCCACTCAACAGTTCATTATTTTAAAATGCTGGTTAAGGTCCATGAATTGGTTTTACAAGCCGTTGATTCTGACTTGCTGTTAAAAAGCATATTGGTTCTCAAGCTATAGCCTCAGAACATTCTACTGTAATACTAGAGAAACGAATAGTATGTGTTGCAGCTTTTATCAAAGGTTGAGGTAGGAGCCAACCTCATGAAGAATGTTCCTGCATCTTTGTAGAAGTACTATTAAAAACAGAATATCACATTAGTTAATGTTAGTTATATAAAGATCAGTGCCTCGTGTTTATGGATTTGTTTATTCATTTATTCACTGTGCCTTGGAAAACATGAGTCCCTATGCTAAGAAGGGAGAAAATAATGAGAAATAAAAAACACAGGTGCTGCCTTCAAATAATGCATAATTTAAGTGGAAAATAGAAAAGTAAATAGGCAATTAAATGATAATGGTTTGCAAAATATGCTATGAAGGTACATTAGAAATGCATTAAACCCAGATTTGAGAGGCTAGACTGGGCTAAAGGCATTCAAGAGGAAATAAGTGATAGCTATGATGAATCCAAAAGAACAAGGAGGAACTAGACAGGCAGGAAGTTGGGGAAACAATGCTATGCAGAGACCAGCAAATGCCATATCTTCGGAGGAGAGGAAAAGAAACAGTGCTTCAGAGAATCTGAAACAAGTTCAGCAAGAGTTCTTTAAAGGTGAGGGTGTAGACGGATGAGGCTAGACAGGTGAAACAGCATCTGCCAAGATCATGAGAGGCCTTACAAGCCTTGAGGAGTGTGGACTTGATCCTAAAGGCAATGGGAGAAGTTCTACTGCCAGTTAGGATATCAGAGGATGCAAAAGACTTTCCTGCCATGGTAACACTAAAAAATATTCAAATAACAGGAAAATCATATGTAATTATGAAATTGAAGAGAGGTAAATGCCACAAAGCTTAAATGAATGAATTTCTAGAGAGAAAAATCCTTGCTAGAGGAGTGGCAAGCCAGCCATGGCAGCTTTCAGCGGTGAGTAGAAGAAAAAAGTCTTCTTGGGTCTTTAGCCCCAAGGCAGTGGCCTCAGCAACACCCGGGAAGGCTGTCAATCAGATGAACTAGAGATGATTAAAACTGATGACTCATCCCAGATAAACTTGACTCTTATTAAAATCTGAATGATCATTTCTTTGTCTTTGATGTCAAAAGCAGAAAAGGGTTCACATTCTGGGGGAAAAATAAAGACAATGAGAAGCCACTGAGGGCCTCTAAGCAGCGGGGAGAGAGGACCAGATCTGCTTTTAGAAAGGTCCCTCTGACTACAGTATGGACAACAGCATGGAGTAGAGTTCAAGACAAAAATGTAGGGAGAACTGAAGGCTGTGGCAGGAACTCATACAGGAGATGACAGTGACCTGATTGAGATTACTGGAGGTGGAGAGAAGTATTGAGGGAAGAGAGAATTAGGAAATAAAATGGATAGGACTAGGTGATTCAGTTGATTGCAGGGAGTGGGGAAGGAAGAAGAGAAAGGGTAAGAGCTGACTCAAAGACTCCTGGGATAAGAACTCATTTATACCAATGTCTACCCTGAGAGAGGGACACTGGAAGAACAAATCAGGGGTTAGTCAGAAATGACAAGGTGCTGAGTATGATGTGTCTGTTAATCAGCTAAGCAGAGATGCCCTTTGGTGGATCTGTGAAATCTGGAGGCCAGCAGAGAGTTCTAGGCTGCAGATCAAGATCTGGGTGCATCAAGCCATGGGGTGGGTAAGATCACCCAGGGACAACACAGGGTGAGAAGAGACTAGAAAAGATGCCTGAGAAACATACATTGAAACTGAGAAGGAATGACCAGAGAGAAAAGGATGAACAAAGATAGGATGGCGCTCTGGAAAGCAAGAGAAAGGAGTGTTTCAGTCAACTGTGTTAAAGGCTGCTAAGAGGTGAAATAGAAAAAAAACTGTAAACGATTAATTTGATTTAACTACAGCAAGGTTGTTGGAGACCTTGGTGAGGTAGTTTAGGAGGCTGGGAATTTATGATTCTTAGAACGCTGAGCGTAGAGCTGAGGAAAGAGCAGTGAACTCAAGATGTTCCACGGGGGAGGAAGGAGACGGTAGGATGGTGCTGAGAAGTTTTAAGATGGAAACTAGAGGTGGTAGGAAGTACCTCGGAGCAAAGTAGAGGCTGAACACAGAAGTTAAAGGTGTCACCTTGGTGGTCTAGCAGGGCCTGCCACAGACAAGGGAAGGGGAGCAGTGACAACTATGCAATGTATTTGCAAATCTGGCACTGGCCTGTGAGCTCCTGTGGGGAAGGGGCTGTGCAGCTTTCATCTGTGTGCTCCTCGTGCTCAGGTTTGGTTATTACTACAAAAGAGCCACCTCCATAACCATGTTATGTTCATGACTGAATCAGCTAGACCAAATCAGGATGTGTGTAGTATGACTGTTGAGATCCTGCAGGTTCCCGTAGAAACTGTTCCAATCTAGGGAATTGCAAAGTAGGAACATAAGGTCCTAGCCCTCCAGAAGTGTATACTCCATAAGATTATAAACTAGAATGCTGCCTGGCACACAGCAAACAAGCAACAAATATCTACTGAATGCATTTAAATGACTATAGTTGGCAAGTTAGGATTCTGCCTACACGCACCAACAGTAAGGTTATAGAAGTAATAGGGAAGACTAACTGCTTAACTGATTTACCCATATCTATCAAGTTAAAATCTTTCTTCATAAGAGATTAGGTAGATGCTTCATTTAAAGCATTGATTTTTAACTGTTATTTAAAACCTGCAAATCCTACACAAATATCACTTAATTGCCTAAGTAAGCTTCTATACTGCACTTTCCCCAAAGGTGATTTATTAAGCACTGCATAATTTAATAGTCTAATAGCTTATTCTCTGAGAATAAAATCTATAACCAATTTTTTTTTTTTCCCATTTAAAGGGACAATCAGAACTAGTTGGCTGCCTAGAAGCAACCATTGTTAGGGACATTCTAGCTAGCATGACATACTTTTTTATGATCATTGCTTCAAGGACTAAAATGTTCTTTACTATGTGCAAAGTTTTCATATTTAGCAAATATAATGTTTTCAAAATAAGCAAATATAATGTTCACTTTCCTATTATAGTAACAACCACCATTCACAGAGTACTCACATATCAGTATAGATCCTAGTGCCAGAGACCCACCTCTCATGTGGCAAGGAAAGTTTATGTCCAAAGTAGCTGAAGAAAGCTGTGATCATAGTTACCCTCCTCCTCCCGTGACGTAGCTGTAGCCGCCAGTGCCCAGGCCATAGCCGTAACGCTCTCCCAGAAACACAGGCTCGCTGGAGTCGTAACAGCTAAGCAGGTGCTGGAGCCTGGAGATACTGAGATGTCAAAGGGAACACAAATCACAATGACTTGATTTAGGAATAGTTTATAGTTCTTACATCCCACTATGTATACTGTGTTATACTAAACGGAAACATTTAAGAGAAGAAATTTGAACGACTTACAGAATGATTTTTTTAAACAAACAAAAAAGAATGCATGAACACTGTACATTACTGGAAACAAGAGAGAAACTGAAACACGAGGGGCTTGTTCCTCGGTTTTTACAAGCCCCTGACACAATATGGCTGCCTGACTTGTGTCGTGAGGGCAGCAGGTTACTGAAGTGAAGGTGGCCAGTGGGCTCTAGATCTCATTTCTACCAATCTTGTTCCCCAGTGAGTGTGAACTGAATCCTCACATCTATTCGGATAAACTTGGTATTTTAAAAAATTCCTGATAGCCTAAAAAGGAGCTATAGAGGTGCAAATGCATGTTAGACCCCTGGCTGGCAGGTGGGGAAGAGAATTTGGACAGTGAGGCTTTCCTGGAAATCCTCAGATAATGACGCAAGACCATGCTTCTGTTTCCCTCAGTAAGGCCACCTGAGTCTAAGAACATTTTGTGTCAGTTTGCTTATAATTTTGAATACCTTTTGTTCCCTATCTCCCTTTATCGCATGTCAGCAACAATAACTTACAAAAGGCAGTGTATTAGTCAGGGTTCTCTAAGTGAGACTATCTGTGAGTTGGCCAGAAAAATGCCTGCAACTACAGCTGCTGTTTGGATGAAAAAACGATTTTATAGGAAAACAAAATTTAAAAATAACTCTTTTGAGTAGACATGAAGGGTAGTGCTAAGAAAGGCTATTTTTTTCTATGTTTAAAGAATTTATACCACTTAGAAATGTCCTTTCTGCCCATAAGCCTGTAATATCAAAAGCAAGTTAGTTACTCCTAAGATACAATGGAGATACAGAGGATATAGCGGGCAAACATTCCTGTTCCAAATGGGAGAAAATGGCCATAACAAAGGGGCCACAGGCCCCATGCAAGTCCAAAACCTACCCAGGCAATCATTAAATCTTAAATCTCCAAAATCTCCTTTAACTCCATGTCTCACATCCAGGACACGTTGATGCAAGAGGTAGGCTCCCAAAGCTTTAGGCAGCCCCACCCCTGTGGCTCTGCAGGGGACAGCCCCCATGGCTGCTTTCACAGGCTGGCATTAAGTGCCTGTGGCTTTTCCAAGTGCATGGAGCAAGCTGTCACTGGATCTGCCATTCTGGGGTCTGGAGGATGGTGGCCCTCTTCTGATAGCTTCCCTAGGCAGTGACTAGGCAGTGTCCCAGTGAGGACTCTGTATGGGGGCTCCCACACCACATTTCCCTTCTGCAGTGCCATGGCAGAGGTTCTTCATGAGGGCCCTATCCCTACAGCAGACTTCTGCCTGGACATCCAAGTATTTTCATACATTCTCTGAAATCCAGGCAGAGGTTCTCAAACCTCAACTCTTGTCTGCTGAGTACCTGCAGGCCCAACAACACTATGCGGAAACGGCCAAAGCATGAGGCTTGCACTCTGTAAAGCAAAAGCCCAAACTGCACCTTGGCTCCTTTTAGCCATGGCTGGAGCTGGAGCTGGAGCATCTGGGTCACAAGGCATCAAGTCCCAAGGCTGTACAGAGCAGTGGAAACCTGGGCCAGGCCCATGACACCATTTTTCCCTCCTAGGCCTCTAGGCCTATTATAAAAGGGGTAGCTGTGAAGATCTCTGACAAGTCCTGTAGACATCTTCCCTATTGTCTTGGTTATTAACATTCAGCTCCTTGTTATTTATGCAATTTTCTGCAGCTGGCTTGAATTTCTCCTCAGAAAATGGGGTTTTCTTTTGTACCTCATAGTCAGGCTGCGAATTTCCAAACCTTTATGCTCTGCTTCCCTTTTAAACATTAAGTTCGAATTTCAAACCATTTCTATGTGAATGAATATGACTGAATGCTTTCAGAATAAGCCAGGTCACATAGTGAGTGCTTTGCTGCTTAGAAATTTCGTCTGTCAGATACCCTAAATCACCTCTCTCAAGTTCAAAGCACCACAGATCTCTAGGGCAGAAGCAGAATTCCACCAGTCTCTTTGCTAAAGCACAGCAAGAGTGACGTTGGCTCCAGTTCCCAGTAAGTTCCTCATCTCCATCTGAAACCACCTCGGCCTGGACTTCATTGGTCAAAACTATTCAACAAGTTTCTTTCTAAACTTTCACTCATCCCTCTGTCTTCTTCTGAGTGCTCCAATATGTTCCAACCTCTGCCTGTTACCCAGTTCCAAAGTCACTTCCACATTTTTTAGTATCTTTTTAGCAAAACCCCACTCCTGGTACCTATTTAATGCATTAGTTTGTTTTCACACTGCAGATAAAGACATACTCAAGACTGGAAAGAAAACGAGGTTTAATTTGACTTACAGTTCCACGTGGCTGGGAGGTCTTACAATTATAACAGAAGGTGAAAGGCACTTCTTACATGGTGGCAGCAAAAGACAATGAGAAAGAAGCAAAAGTGGAAACCCCTGATAAACCCATCAGATCTCATGAGACTTAGTCACTATCAGGAGAATAGCATGGGAAAGACAAGCCCTCATGATTCAATTACCTCCCACTGTGTCCCTCACATAACACGTGGAAATTCTGACAGATGAAAATTCAAGTTGAGATTTGGGTGGAGACACAGCCAAACCACATCATTCCACCCCTGGCCCCTCTCAAATTTCATGTCCTCACATTTTAAAATCAATCATGCTTTCCCAACAGTCCCTAAAGTCTTAACTAATTTCAGCATGAACTCAAAATTCTGTAGTCAAGTCTCTCAACTGAGACAACACAAATCCCTTCTGCCTATGAGCCTGTCAAATCAAAAGCAAGTTAGGTCTTCCTAGATACAATAAAGGTATAGGCATTGGGTAAATACAGCAGTTCCAAATGGGAGAAATTGGCCCAAATGAAGGCGCAACAGGCCCCATACCAGTCCAAAATTTAACAGGGCAGTCAAACTTTAAAGCTCCAAAAGGATCTCCTTTGACTCTATGTCTCACATTCAGGTGACAGTGATACAAGAGGTGGGTTTCCATGGTCTTTGGCAGCTCTAACCCTGTGGCTTTGCAGAGTACAGCCTCCCTTCTGCCTGCTTTCAGGGGCTGACATTGAGTGTCTGCAGCTTTTCCAGACACACGGTGTAAGCTGTCAGTGGATCTATCACTCTGGGGTCTAGAGGACAGTGGCCCTCTTCTCACAGCTCCACTAGGCAGTACCCCAGTAGGGACTCTGTAGGGGCTCTGACCCCACAGTTCCCTTCCACACTGCCCTAGCAGAGGTTCTCCATGAGAGCCCGCTCCTGCAGCAAACTTTTGCCTGGGCATCCAGGCATTACTACAGATCTTCTAAAATCTAGAAAGAGATTCTCAAACCTCAATTCTTAACTTCTGTGTACCTGCAGGCTCAACATCACACGGAAGCTGCCAAGCTTTGGGGCTTCCATCCTCTGAAGCAACAGCTTGAGCTGTACCTTGGCCTCTTTCAGTCATGGCTAAAGTGGTCAGGATGCAGGACAAGTCCCTAGACTGCACACAGCATAGGGACTCTGAGTCTAGCCCACAAAACCACTTTATCCTCCTAGGCCTCTGGGCCTGTGACGCAGGGGGAGGGGCTGGAATGAAGGTCTCTGACATAGCCTGGGGACATTTTCCCCATGGTCTTGGAGATTAACATTAGACTTCTTGCTACCTATGCAAATTTCTACAGCTGGCTTGAATTTCTCTCCAGAAAATGAGTTTTTCTTTTCTATTGCATGGTCAGGGTACACATTTTCAAAACTTTATGCTCCACTTTCCTTATAAAACTGAATGCCTTTAACAGCATCCAAGTCTGCTATTGAATGCTTTTCTACTTAGAAATTTCTTCCACTGGCCAGGAGCAGTGGCTCACGCCTGTAATCCCAGCACTTTGGGAGGCCGAGGCCGGTGGATCATGAGGTCAAGAGATCAAGACCATCCTGGTCAATATGGTGAAACCCGGTCTCTACTAAAAATACAAAAAATTAGCTGGGCATGGTGGCGCGTGCCTGTAATCCCAGCTACTTGGGAGGCTGAGGCAGGAGAACTGCCTGAACCCAGGAGACGGAGGTTGCGGTGAGCCGAGATCGCACCATTGCACTCCAGCCTGGGTAATAAGAGCGAAACTCTATCTCAAAAAAAAAAAAAAAAAAAAGAAAGGAAGGAAGAAAGAAATTTATTCCACCAGATACCCTAAATCATCTCTCTCATGTTCAAAGTTTCAGAAATCTCTAGGACAGGGACAAAATGCCACAAATCTCTTTGCTGAAACATCCAAGAATCACCTTTACTCCAGTTCCCAACAAGTTCCTCATTTCCATCTGACATCACCTCAACCTGTAGTTTATTGTCCATAACAGTATCATCATTTTGGACAAAGCCATTTATGTCTCCAGGAAGTTCCAAACTTTCCCACATTTTCCTGTCTTCTTCTGAGCCCTCCAAATTTCTCTAAATATTCACCAAGAAATCTATTCTCACAGAGCAATAGTAACATTAAAAGTTCTGGTGTCTCATTTTTTGGTGGGAAGGATGGGTAAGAAGAAAACAAAGTACCAGAAAAGATCACTTTTCCCATCCACACTCATGAGTCTTACAAAAATACCCTAGCTAATAAAGCTAAAGCTGAAATAGAAAAAAAACAAATTTAATATATGAAAAGAAACTCTGACCAGTGACAAATGTTGGTGCTCAAAGAATCCACAAGACTCCCAATCAGATTTATATCTGTCTGAAGGTGAAGGCCTCTGATAACACTGATGGTTTCTGAGTGACGAGAAAAATGTACTTAGAACACTATCCTGTTTTCAGCATAAGCTGACTCTAGGACTGCCTCGTATTAACAGTGGTGTAAAGATCTGGTCTGCTGTTCTCTACAAAAAACTTGCTATTAAATTCTGCTGTTTTATCACTGGTTTTGTTTAGTATAGTTGCCAATGATTTTCTGACTTT